CCTACTACAGCTGGGTGTGAGAGGGCACAGCACTGTGCACAAGCAGAGCCACACCTCTGGGAGAGGGGCTGCAGAGAGGATGGGCAGGTGGCCCTCTGAGTCAGGCAGAGGTGAGGGACAGCACCATGGTGTGCTCAGGGGGGCACCCAAAAGGCTTAGCAGTGCCGGTACAATCCCATCTGCTCTCACATCCAATCTTACAGCATTGGTAATGCAGGCAACCAGTTTTGTGCCGAGCAGGATGGCTACTCAGGGTCATGTTGGATGAGCCCCTTGGACGCTAAAGGGCAGGTGGACAGACCTGCTGTGTGTCCCACACCACCAAGCACCAGGTTTGTGTTGTGGTGGTTGCCAAGGCAGACACTACCAGATCTGCAAAACTTCCTTCCTTTTACTTTGTACTCAGCTCTGGGCAGTGCTGTGGGTTAAGGCAGTATTAAAACTCCCCTGGTTGGGAAATGAGCTGGCGGTGCCCCTGTCTCACACCAAGCTGTGAAACCCCAAAACTCTTCCCATTGCCCTCCACACATGGCAACCCCACAGACACACGCAGCTTCCAGGCCAAGGAAAGCTTTACAATAAGTTTGACCCAAGCAACAAGCTAGTGATGGGACACTCCATATTGCATTACACATGACGGGAATGGTGTGGTTGGTGTCACAGGTAGTACTCAATGAACAGCCCAGTATCTGGACTGGGAGAGCAGTTATCATCCAGTGGAGGGTGACAGCCAGGCCAGCCCTCAGGCACAAATCTGCTGCAGGACAATTTGTCCTTGCAATTATACCTGGGTTCCTCCCTGATATAAAGACTGATGTTAAAAACACACCTGGGTGTTTGCTGAAGGGGGCAAATGAATAATTCAGGCTTACTGTTGAAGCTCTGTGCTCAGGCACAAGGATTTATAAAAGCCGTTTACAAAAGCTGTTGGTGTTCCTTTCTTTGAATGCAATGAAAAGTACTAGGGAGGGGGGTCTCAGGGCCCAGCCTGGGGTGCTGAAGTCATGCGACTTGGGGTGTTTTGCTGGTGCGGAGAAGCCAGGGATGCACCACGGAGCCTATGTAACACCAGGTGGCTGCCCATTTCCATAGAAACTGAGGATGACGGGATGCAGGCCCTCGAGGTGCCTACGGAAATTGCAGACAGGAAGAGCGTTCCCGGTGGCCCTGATTTTATTAGCAACACACAGAAGGAAAATCCCTTTTGAGAGACGAGTTTCACCCCTGCCACATCCCTTTTGAAATGCTCATCCCCATGAAATTCCTGCTGCCGTGTTCTTGTTCAAACCAACTTGCTGGTGACTGGCATTTGCATAAACCTTAATTATCAGTGTGTGACTCCACAGAGGCTGTGGGGAGAGCAGAACAAAGGACCAAAATGACGAGGAAATTCTCTCAGCACCTTAGCAAGCCCATAGTTAAGGGCAGGCTGAATCTGGCTGGCTCTCAGGAGAAAGGAGTGACACAGATTTATCATCTATCTTCACACCCTAAACTTTAATTAAGGCACCTGCCTAGAAATTAATAGGCACAAAACCTGATTTACAAAGCAAAGGAGATTGAAAGATAAAGGCAGTTTCCACTCCTATTATTTGCAGTTCAGCGCTGTTAATGGCTCACTGAGAAAAGACACACTCGGAGTCCTCACAACGGCAAGCAGGCTGGCAGGCTGGGCTCCGCAGCACAGCCATTAAGATACCAAAACAAATAGCATGCAATTGCAAAGAGAAGCTTTTTAGGCTTTTAATTTAGACTTTTAATTTAGATTTTTAGGATCAGAGCTCTGCTCCCTTGCAGCAATTTCAGCAGTCGAAGAGATTCCTGGTGGAGCAGGCAGGTTGTCCTCTCTGTGCTGGATTTTGGGGACTTGGCTCATCACCTTCAATAGGAGACCCTTCGCTAGGGAACCCAGTGCAGCCCCTGGGATTTCACCGGGTGGTCCTGGTGCTGAGCCCGGTTAGCAGCAGCACCCCGAGCACACAGTGAGCCCCAGGGCCCCCAGCCGAGCTGGTAGATGCAGGAAGGGAGCCAGCCCCAGAGGTGTGGGAGTGCCAAGGGTGCACTGCACTCAAATACCTGGGAGCTGCATAAACCCATCGGTATCCCAGCTCTGGGGCTCAGAAAGAGGACTCAGTCCAAAAAATCCTGGCAGTGCTACCAACACTAGGCTGAGCCTAGCTTTGCTCCAGTCAGAGGGGATCATGAGGGTTGCTCAAGATTTGCCTGTGCTGAAGACATCTTCTGGGGCGGGCTGAGTTTAACCCCAGGGACATGGCAATGGGGAGGAGGCTGGGGAAGGAAGATAGAGACCTCTGGCCTCTGCAATCAGCTGGGCAGGAGCTGGAGCTGAGAGAGAGACAGTGGAAGGGAGAGAGCAATGCAAGGAGAAAGTGAGGCTCCCTCAGCTGCCTCGCAGGCATCGCTCCACAAAGGAAGCAGCGAGCGGAAAAGCCGAGCTGGGCAGGAATGCACCCCGCTCACCAAATCACATTCATGGCTCCCCTCGGCAGCTCAGCCCCTCTGCTCCACCCTGGGCAGTGGGAAGTGAAACCTCGCTGTCCCATATAGCACGTTCCTGCTTCTCCTGAAAACCCAGCCAGACTGGCATCTTCCCTGTTGGCTCAGCCAGTTCCCATACACAAAGGCAGCAGTTTCTGCCCCGTCACACAGGATCAAAGGCTTCTCCCATGCTTCCCCCTCAGCTTAGGGTGACTCCAGGCTCCATGTCCAGCTTGGGTACCACCCTCTGTTGAGCTGGGTCCCCACTGCACCCCCCGTGTGGACTGCATCCACCCCCTAGGCTGGGGGCTCCAGCGTTTCCCTTTTGCACCCCAGCAAGGCGAACCATCGGTCCCATTCTCCAAGCAAACCCCAGGCTGTCCCAGACAACTTCAGCACAGCTGCATCCCAGTCCGAAAAAGGCCGATGTGCTTTTTCCAGTGACTCATTCTCAGCCTTTCCTCTTTTTTTTTTTTCACATTTAAAGGCACAGCCTCAGCCTTGCACCCAGCAAGAGCCAAGCGCCTGCTGCTCGCCCCACCCAAGCACAGGGCCTGAGAACCTCCTCCCTCCTCCCAAAAGCTGACAGCCGAGGACACGTTTCAGACTGAAGAAGGAAGCTGCCAGACTCTGACGAGTGTTTTCACATCACCCATCACATCAGCCTCAACTGCATCCCTGCTTCTGCACAGCCCCACATGCTGCCAGGAAACCCCCCCAGCCAGAGCAAAAACCACATGAGCTGAGAAGGCTCCAGAACTGGTTTCAACAACTTTTCAAGTAAGTGATTTCATGTTTTTTCTTGCTTTCATGCATGTTTGGGGGAAAGACCTTAACAGAGACTGCTAGAAAATGATCTGCTGCAAACAGCTTCCCCCCTCCTACCCACCCTTCTTTCTCCCAGACAGGCACCACAACCACCAAGCAGGGGAAGGGTAACCCCCCAAAAGAGCATACTCCCCTTGGCCAGATCCTCTTACTTTTGTTTGCCAGTTGCCAGGCTCTGTCAGGAAGATCACAGGGCTTTGTTTATCAGAGCTATTTGCTGGTAACTCTAATAACAGGGTTTTGAACCCCACGCACTAGAACAAGTTTGCAGGTTTAGCGTCTGGCTGCAAACGTGGTCTACCACAAAGCGCAGCAGCCAGAGATGGAGGCCTGGCTCCCCGTCACGTGGCTGCAGTTTTCAGCTGGTCTGTCTCCTTTGCTGAGGATATTTTGCATATGGAAAACTAGGAAGATACAGGAAGACACTAAGGGCTGCCTGTGTCTGAGGCTGGCAATATCACAACATGACTTTAAAGGGAATGCCACGGGTTAGATACAACAGGGAACCAAGTTTCTGCCCCCTCTGCTGCCCTATGGAGGAAGGGGGTAAAACAAGATTTGGTGGGGCAGATGAACTTAAGCACAGCAGTGATTTAAAGCACAGTGGATGAGCAAGCCTTGTACAAGAGACCATAAGGATTAAGGTGCCTATGCTTCCTCCGCACCAGTGTCCCTGCAGCCATTTCCCTGCAGATGGGGCTTGGCCCAGGGAAGCCTTCCTGGGAGATGCTGACATCGGGGCAGATTTCAAGCAGCCCTGCTGTGGGTCAGGGCTCCCTCAAGTAAGGTGCTTAAAGCTTCCTGACGTGAAATCCTGTGAGGATGCAGCAAAGACGGAAATTCAACAAAGAAACTTATTAAATGCAGCTTGCAAGTGGCATAGGGGACTAGGCATCACTGCAGAGGACATGGATACACCCCCCAATTTTTCCCTGTCCTTCAAAAAGATCACAGTACATGCTTTCTCCTTCTTGGTCCTGAGGGCCTGCAGTCCACACAGCCCAGCCTTAGGGGTGGGGTGGGCATCCCAGTATAACCAGTGTTGTACTGGGAGAAGGGGTTGAGGAAAGCTGCACAGGCAACCAGCAGCGAAGTGCACCTCTGGCACTGAGCTGTGCAGGTTAAGGGGCTCAGTTTCAGGCCAGCAGTTCAAGGCTGAGCCAGGACTGTGGGCTATGACAGGGAGTACGGTTCTATCAACCCGCTGTGGGAGAGGAGGAGATCATCCTGCCACACCTAATCCTAGCAAAAAAACTCCTACGTAATTGCTGATGCAGCTCGATTGGCATTTTTATCCTGGGTCACATCAAGATAGATAAACTCCACTTTCCCAGGAAGTAACTAATTTTTCTGGTATCAGCAGCCTCTCAGCATCCCCTCACACTTGCCAGTGGAGGCTGCTCCTGCCTGGTCCTCCCATGCTGCATCTCTCTGCCTCCAGACCAGCAGGGTCATCCTCCAAGACAAACCTTTACCTATTACTCAATATTAACTCATCAGGTCTTAAGAGGGATGTAAAAGCCACACACAGCACTTTCAAGGCAGTGCCGCACCAGCGTGCACGTGCCTTGTGTGCCTGGGCTAGCATGAGTCAGGGCTGCGGCCACATCAGTGCTGGTGCTCTGGTCCAGTTTTCCCAGTAACACGGCGTCCTCCTTCGTTGTAGGCTTGGGAGATCGAGTGTCTGGCAGCGACGCTGACTGTAATGGCCTCTGCGGGAGGCGACTAAAACCAAAGAGAAGACAACTAACGTGCAAATGACAGGGCCAGAAATAGCTGTCCTGTTGGTAATCGTCGCTGTAGAGACGCTTTCGGAGAGCTTAGTGGGAAACTGAAATGACTGAGGTTTCACACATTGCTTAGGCTGAACCCTTCTTCAGCCCCTTTGAAGTATCCCTGCCATCAGCAACCAGCTCAAGACAGTGACGCCAGGAGGAAGGAAGGGACAGCAGTGAAGGTGTTGTGCTCCTGGAGCAGTCCCTTGTACATCAGCCGGCCCAAGGACATTCCCCCTCCATTGGCGTGTCCTTGGTGCTGGGAGGTGGTTCAGCACGGCCTCCCCCAGCAGTACCCGCTTCCTCTCACCCCCAGGACGAGATGGCAGCTCTCATTGCTGAGAACTTCCGCTTCCTCTCCTTGTTCTTCAAGAGCAAAGACGTGATGATCTTCAATGGTTTAGTAGCCCTGGGCACGGTGGGGAGTGAGGAGCTCTTCTCTGTTGTTGCCTTCAACTGCCCTTGCTCCCCTGCCCGCAACTACATCTATGGGCTGGCTGCCATTGGTGTCCCAGCTTTGGCCCTCTTCCTCATTGGCGTCATCTGGAACAACCACACCTGGAATCTGGTGGCTGAGTGCCACAAGCGTGGCATCAAGAACTTCTCTGTGGCTGCCACCTTCCTCCTCTTTGGCTCCATCATGGGCCGGGCAGCCGTGGCACCCGTCACCTGGTCGGTCATCTCGCTGCTGCGCGGGGAGGCTTACATCTGCGCCCTCAGCGAGTTTGTCCGGCCATCCTCCTTGGACAAGTTCCCAGCTGAGTATGGGGCTGATGTGCTGGCCAGGTTCCCCTGTAAAGATGTGCCGGCAAACCTCACCAAGTTCAGGGACGAGGTGACGCGGAGGCTGAGATACGAGTCCCAGGTAGGCACGCTGGGGAGAAATCCACACAAAGTGGGTAAGACCACCTCGCTGTGTCTTAACACAGCCTCTCTCTTCTCTCTCAGCTCTTTGGCTGGCTGCTCATCGGCATCGTTGCGGTCCTGGTTTTCCTCACCAAGTGCCTGAAGCACTGCTGCTCACCGCTGAGCTACCGGCAGGAGGCTTACTGGGCCCAATACCGCTCCAACGAGGACAAGCTCTTCCGACGCACAGCTGAGGTCCACTCCAGGATCCTGGCAGCCAAGAATGTGAAGCAATTCTTCGGCTTTGTGGCGCTGGACAAGGAGGAGAAGGAGCTGGTGCAGGAGTTCCCAGTGGAAGGCGTGCAGCCAAGCCCCCAGTGGAATGCCATCACGGGTGTCTACATCTACCGGGAGAACAAGGGCTTCCCCCTCTACAGCCGGCTCCACAAATGGGCCAAAGGGGTGGAAGGGAATGGACCAAGCCCGGAAGGCCATGAAATGCTCTTTTTGGCTTCCTAAGATGGGTGCTTGTTACTCCCCAGACTGCCTGGTAGGCCTATCAGTATTGGTGCACAGGCTGAGGGTTTCACTGGGAATATCCCTCCCAGCAACAGTTCTCTCAACAGGTAAATAGGGATCAAGAACCTCAGGGTAGAGACTAAAGCAATACACTGAGCAGGGAACACCTCCCTTAGAGAAAACCTCGCTGCTGCTCCCAGAGACAGAAGGGGAGCAAAGAGCAGATGCAGACCTTACATCCAGCTTCCAGTGCACCAGCAGAAACCTTGGGGAGCAAGAGGTGGGCACGTTTCTAACCCTGACTCCTGCAGTCCCACTTGTCTCCCCCACGGCAAGGTTAGCCCCAGTCATCTCACACACCTACTTTCATTATTGACATTGGTACGTTCTCAGCCAGTTGCGCTGTGCCTGTTACGCAGGCAGATCCCAAAGCAGTTTCCGGGCATTACAATGCAGGGAAAGAGGGAAGCAGTGTAAATTCCTGTGGCAAGAGGGATGCAATAGCACCTGGGAAGGAATGGGTCAGTAATAGAGCAGCACACCAAATAACTGAGAGACTAAGATTGGAAGAATCACCAATATTCTTGGTATTCAGAAAGACACTCTGTAATTAACCAGTTGGAATTTGGGTATGACACCAAACTTCCTTTGTTCTTATTGAAGTGCCTGGCAATCTCCAATCAGTCCAAGTGGTCACAACCGTAAGTTTATAAACCCAGAGGATGGCACCATCAACAGAATAGTTTTCAGGGGAGGTGGAGCTTGAGAGGCAGCAGTACCTGCTGTGAGCCACACCACCATCTGCAGCTCATTGCATTTCTCATCGAACCATTGGATGAGTCCTGCTTGTTTGGGTTGCAAGCTGCAGCAAGACCTCAACCAGAATTACTTTTATATTATGTATATATACACACACACATACATATATAGTATATATGCTATGTAATTGTAGTTAGCTAGCTGTATTAATGGAACATCTTTCTTCGAGGGAAAGGGGACAAGAAGGTTGCCAGCCAAAAGAGCTTACTACATGCACCCATCTGCTGCACTGGACTACAGCCCTGGAGTGACAAGGGACATAGGAATGGGATGGGGGAAACAGTCCTCTCCCTACCCTTTTACCACTGAATTTTCTTAAACTCTACTGCCTTATGCAATCACTGCAGCAGAAGGCATCTTCTATGGACTTGGTCATACTCTGAGAAAGCAAAGCCAGAAAAGTGCAGTATCACTGCCCTCACTGTGACACTGTGCTGCCAATGGCTTCAAGGCTGCTCTTCTGGCACTGCAGTGTTCCTTTTCTCCCCAGGGTCAGCCCTACATACCCAACACTGTTTTAACAGCTGGCAGGACAATGAAGTGGGATTTTCTCCTACTTGTACTATTTCTTTATAGGTACAACTTCCTTTTACACTGCACTGTTTACTAAAAAGCCTTAAATTGCTCAAAAAAAAATGATTCAAACCCACAGAACTCAGAGGGGCTCACACACCAGGAGATTTTAAATAAATTATTAAATGAGTTACTTTGCATTGCCTTCTGAGGGTTTTTTCCAAGGAGGTAAAAAAACAAGGGCATAATTTAATATTCTCTTTGAACTCGAGGGTTGGGAACCTACTTTTTCTATTAAACATTCAGATCCTCTCTTATTCCCCAGAATGTGAAATTTTAAAGTGTTACCACATATTACAAGTTAGTAGCACTGCTTTTTAGCTATTCTCACAGTGATCAGCACGAAACTTGCACATCAGGATACTCAATTGCAGCAAAGGATAGAGAATGTATTTAGAAACCTTTTTACAAGTATGTCCCCTTGCAAGAAAGAGCTGGAGGGTATTCCACGTAAAGAGGCGGAACACTGCTTAATGGGCAAAGGATCCCCGAGATCCCTGTTCAGCTTCTTTCCAGATTTGCCTTGCATTTTTAGGAAGGCTTTGCCCCCAGCCTCTCCATCAACTAATCTGCAGGAGCAATCAGATGCAAATTAAATGAAATTGCATTAACTTGAGATGAAAGAAAGTTCATTTGCATTTCTTCTCATTGGCCTCAAGTGGGAACATGTAGACACACATACCACCCCCACATGCAGGTCAGCATATGCAAGGTGACTTGCTGAAACAAAGCAGCGTTCCTCTTGCTTCCTTTACTTCCCTGGCCTTCCTCCTTGGTAGTCGTCATTGTTCCTCTCAACCACCTCCACTCCAGTTCCTTCTCCCCCACATCCTTCCTTTGAAGGAAAGGGGCAAGACACGTAATGCTTGGGAATGGATTTATTTATCTCAAGAATAAATCATGAGCACAAACCAGCTTTTGCGCTATTTATCTCCCTTCTCTATTAACTCCAGTAACTTTCCACGTGCTGGGATGGGCATGGGGCTTGTCCATTTTCCCTCCCTCTTCTTGGAGAGGCATGTTTGGGTGGACAGCTGACAGTGGGAAGTGGAGCAAGCCACCACATTCAGAAATACTTGCTTGCAATTACAGGGTTGGGATTTTTTCCTCCTCTCTGCCACCCAAGCATGGCAGCCCCCACTGAGACAGCTCTCATAGCCCGTTAGTACCCTCATGAATATCCCTGCCATCTGTGTTACTCATTCTCCCCCAGTGAGGATGCTGAGGTGAGGGACATTAACCCACATGGATTTACACACCAGCACAAGAACCAGGCTAGGCTTCTCCCCAAAACGTCCGATTTCCTGGTATGCTGCATTACACAGGCTGCAAGATCACATGCCCTCTGCTTTTCCTCCAGAGGCCAAAACCAACCCCATTGCAGAGAAGCCTGTAGGTTGCCACTTGGGGCAAACTTCCCAACAGCAAAATGGGTTAAAACCAAGCTCCTCCAGTATGGAGGATTACACACAGGTCTTTCATTTTCCCTGCTGACTACTGTAGAGACTGTAATAGCCCCAGTAGTCAAGAAGAAACAATGCCTCAAAGGGATCTTGGTTTCTATTGTGACGCATATTTATGTATTCTATTATATAACAATTAATCCAAAAGAAAAAGCCACTGTCATTGCAGCTGTGCTCTTAAGAAAGCAGCAGCTGTTACTGGATGTTGCAAGCAGCCTCCTCCTCTAGAAGAGCATTAAGCAAAATCTGAGTACAGTATCCTGCTCTCCCTGGGGGCAAGAAGTGAAACAACTGGTTTCCAGATCCCAACAGACTTGGGCATGAATTAAATGCTGAATCATTCAACCTTGCCAACAGTGGGCATTCAAAGAGGCAGAAGAGCTGGGTCCTGCAGAGCTCTGGTTTTGAGTTCAGAGCACCTACAATGAGTAAGACTCTTCCAAGTTTGATATTTCAAAGCTGGGCACCCACTCACTAGTGTCTACATTGGATAATCTTAGAATGGTTAGGGCTGGAAATGACTTTGGGATCATCTAGTTCATGTAAAACATGTAGAAGATGACATCCACACCTTACTGGAGTTGCAAGAAGGCACCAACACCAGTGATGGAGACTACAGAAGCACCCAAGATCCCTGGCTTTTTCCAAGCAGAAGGTTAGATTGGGATGACTTTTTTCAGCACAGAAAAAATGCTTTTTTCTTTGACTTCACTGATTTCTCTTGAGAGACAACAACTACAATTTTTTCTGTCATCAATCCCTGGCACCTTGTTACGACAGATGGTTGCAGCCATGGGATTCATCACAACTGGATGCTGTGGGCTTTAAAGGCAAATGCCCTTTCAGATGAAGAAGACGAGCATTCTGCGGTGCACTAGGAAAAGCATTACCAGCAGACCAAGGGAGGTCATCCTTCCCCTCTGCTCTGCAGTAGTGAGACATCTGAGATGATGTATCAAGTGCTGGGCTCCCTAGTACAGGACAGATACAGGCTTACTGAATTGAGTCTAGCAGAGGGACAGGAAAGTGATTAAAGTGATTATGGAATTGGACTATCCATCATACAAGGAGAGGCTGAGAGCTGTGGCTGATCAGCTTCAGGAAAAAGCCCAAGGTAGCTCTTATTCACATGTATACTTGACACAAGGATGTAGAACAGATATGGCTGATGTTTGTATTGGTTATAAAACAGCCTATATTTAAAAAACATGTCTTCAAAGTCATCAACAGACCAGGATTATTTGTAACATCTGGACAAAGCTGCAAACATTTATCAAATCTATTCCTTAGTTTGCTCTTTGCAGTTTGGTTTGGTCATAGACCAATACTCTCCAGCAACTCACTGTCCATGGACACTCATGGCAGAATTCCACGTCTCAGTTTCCACACTGCATTTAGAGCTGAGTCTCTCTGCTTTTACTTGAATCAGATGTCAGCAAGGGAACTCTTGGTCTCCACATACTCAAGTGCTGCTCTTTTAACAGCCAGGACACTTTCTGTTGTACCAAATTTCTTCTCATAATCCAGGTAACGTTTAAAGAGGAATTTCATCTTCTTTGGTGCCAAGCTCAGGTGTACAACCCTCTCAAAGATGTCCCTGCAAGAAACCAAAGTAACTCAGTAACTCAGAACACTGGTGGTGACAGCTCTCAGTACAAGCCCCCCAGTCTCGCAATTGAGCAAAGAGCAGGAAGTGACAGAAGATATTCAACCTGCTTGAAGAAGATTCCTGACATCTGGCCAAACCCTCGAAGTAGAAGCCTTCTATTTGCTTGCAGAACATTAAGGCTGCTGGTCAACTTAAGCTAAGATCCAGCCACTGTATTTGACCCTGTGTTTGTTAAGCAGATGTGGCTGGATCCATAGTGTAGGAAGCTGCCTTTTGTGAAGTCTCAGAAAAGGCAAGAAAAAAAAACCTCCATCTTTATGTTACAGGATACACAAGCGATCGATCTCACCCTTGAGTACAAGACAATCCCTCTGGAGAGACAGATGAACTTCAGTGCAAGTCCTCTAGTTTCTCTCATGTAGGCCACTACTTACAAACCAAGTCTCTCTCTGCCCTATGGACCTCCTTGGAATCCCCTCAGCCCTGGCAAGGATAAGCACTTCCATACACCCCAGTTTTCTTTCTCTAGGTGACAAAAAATCCTCTTTTGCTTTGCTCTAGGAAGCCCTATACACACTGCAGGGTACCTCTGCTCTCTTCAGGTGTTACTCCAAGCACTGTACTCTGTCCCTTCCCAGCCTCCTGTAGCACAACTCACCGTACTTCCTTCTGGCTGCCATGTTTGATCATGATGTCTATGTAGATGGACCAGATGTCTGTTCGCTTGGGATAGCTGCTGAGGGTGCTCTCAAAGAGAGCCTTGGCATGTTCTGAGTCCCCAGAACGGAACTCCAGCTGTGCAAACCTTGAAATGACATCCACATCTGGAACAAGTAATGACATGTTAGGGTATCACAACAGGTCTCTTCCCTACGAACAAACCCAAATTACATAGAACAGAGGCAGACACAGAGACAGCACCATCTCTACCCAGAGACAAAAGGCTCTATTGTAAAGTGGTTCTGCACCAAGGTGGAATCAGAATGGGAGAGAGAAGGGTCACACTTCACGTCCCATTTCAGCTCTTTGCAGGAGACAGAAATTTATTCTTAAATTCAAAATGCATCTTGCAGCATCCATGTGCAGCCCCACAAACCTCCGACTAGACCAACTAAACTTTTTTAGAGGGCTGTAAGAATCAAAACAGCCTTTCCTTTGGGTGCCTTGCTTTTGCCATATCAGCAAATTCTATTACAGGAGGATTTAGCACTGATATCCACATTGAAGCTTCCCCTCCCCTGAGAGACAAAGGCAGCATGTTCAACACCAACTAGTTGCACTTTTCACCTATTACAAACATTGTCACAGGCAAAGGCATCAGAGAGTAGACCATCTGCTGGAGACCTGTCAAAACATGGCCCACATTAAGGATGGGGAAGAGTACTTACGTTCTTTGGTGGGCAAAGCCTTGAGAGCACGATCCAAAAGCCTGTGTGTAGCCTCAGTCTGGCCTTGCCTCAGGAGGAAAGAGGCATATTTCAGCCACACAGACTTCTCCTGACGGAAACGCTTCAGCATGGTGTGGTACAATTCTTCTGCTTGCTGGAAGGGCAGAGTTGGGTTAGATCACACAGATTCATAATGAAGCCATGGAGCTTTAAGACTTTTACTCTTGGCCCAGCTACCTCCAAACACTTAGGCCGGAAAAGCAAATATCAATAATTCCTTGTCTGCTGTCAATCATAACTATTAATTTCAGTTAGGAACAGGAGAGGCCTAACATCTGACATCTGTAAGTTTATACAGCCAGTACTGGTAGTTTACTACCAATGGCATGACTGGATGGGACACACAACTGGGACCTGCTGACACTATCTTACCTTGTACTTCTCTGAACTGGCATATATGTCACACAAATGCTGGAAGACTTTCAGAGGTTCGTTGTATTGAATGGCTCTCTCAAAGACCTTCATCAGTGTCTCCTCAGTACCATACATGTTCTCCAAGTTCAGCAAAGCTACCCAGACATTCAGCTTCTCCTGTTCTTCCCTTAAAGCAGATGTAAACAAGAATATTTAGTCTTTTACCAGTCTTCATCAGCTTTTTGCAAACCACCCTCCAAAGACTCACTGGACTTGTAGCCTGCCTCCAGCATAAAGGAAGGGGGCATACTGCTCACTGAAATACCAGTTTTGGAGCAAAGCACAGCAGCTGTTTCACACGACAACTTTTGATCAACATTGTTTGTAATTAAAAAACACAAGGATGATTCAAGAAAGCACAATATACTTAATCATGGTGTAGAGATGATTTAATATACAAGGGTGCAGCCCTGTGAAAAAGCGATAGGAGTTTCACAGTTTGTTTCATGTTTTAATTCAAAGACAACATCACTGACAGCATTATGCTCTTCCAAACCCTTCTGACTGCTCAAAAGTATGTGTGCACCCAGTGACACCCTGGGGGAATTATTGCACCCATGAGCTGCAGCAACCAAGCTGCAGGCCAACTGTGGTGATTCAGGACAGACCTTCAAAGGGACAGCTGACAATTGCTACCATTTAATCCTTTTGAGCTCACTGAAACAGACTCTGCCACTCCACACTTACATGCATGCGCACTGATGACACTACTAATGCTCTTCTCCCACAACTACCTCACCATCATTTACTCGTTGGGGCAAAGAAAGGCAGAGGCCCATTATTACCTGAAGCTGATTGTTTTAAGCGCTCTCTCTGCCACAGCTCTGGCCTTCTCAATCTCAGTAGCCTGGAGGTGGAAAGCCATGTACTGTAGCCAGAGAATGGAGCTGTTGGGACTGCTCAGCACCAGGCGGTCAAAGTCATCTGCTGACTGGGGCTGTCGACTGGGGTCCATCAGAGCTGCCTCTAATTTGCACAGCTCCTTCTCCTTCTTCTGCTTCTCTAGCTCCTTCTCCTTCTTTGTTTGTTTTTTCAGCTGAAAGAGCAAAAAAGGAGGACTGGAAAAAAGCAGGCACTACATGTGGGAACAGGCAGGTCTGCAGTTTTCACATGAAGAGATGAAGCCAATTGTTTAAGAGGAGGAAAATGGTACATGCACTCCAGCCCTTCACATCTCCAAGCAAAGCAACAGTACATGAAATCTCATTTATTTTAATAAAATACATTGAGGAACCAATTTCTTTGCTAGCCTTGCACCCCAACAGCAGGATTCACACTCCACCCCTCATTCTTCCATCTTTACCCTCTTGGCCAGTGCTCACCACCACCATTCACTCTGTAAAAATCCGTAATACATGGGGAGAAATTGTGCTAGGCTGGGGGATGTTCCTGGATCACTAGAGTGGCTCAGGTCTAAACTGGGAACTGACAGTACCATAGCTCTCTGCACAAGGCAACTACACCCTAGGCAGCAAAACATCAGTAATGCACAGCTTTTGCAGAGGTGAGTTTTGAGGGACAGGGGAAATCCTGAAGAGCAAGCATGAAATCAATTTATGAGCTTGTTTCTGTTTGTGTTGAATTGCTCACATGGAAAAACTCTTCTAAAACAGTACAGCAAAAATGAATTTTTTGGTGGTTTTCTAAATAAGAGGACTATAATTTGAAAAGATTTTTCATCTTCAGGTTTTCCTGTAAATTTACAACACTCAAAAAGGTAAAAAACCCAAAGCTGACATCAAATACAAAAATTTTACTTTCATTAAAATGTTTTTTTTTTTGACCCTAAATAATTTTCTTTTCATGTCAACATGAGAAACCCTATTTTCATGCAGCTCTGCTAAAATAGGGGCTTTTGTCCTCTGCTTCAGAGATATCTGCTGCTAAGTTCAGTGCTTGGAGTAGTTAAGGAAATTCTGTATTAGCTGTCAGAGATGTTCCATTGGGTTAAAAGGCTTTGCTATGGGACAGAGATACGCAAATACCAAGACATCACATTACAGCCACCATGTGGTGGTTCGCGTGCAGACAACACTAGTACACAGTACCTTTGAGTGCAGATCCTCCTCCTCCTCGCTCTCTGAGCTCTCTTCCTTCTGATTCAGCACAGGTATATCCATGGCATTCATATCCTCATCCCAGGTGAACCCCACAGAAACCTGCAGCCTGGGAGCTTCACCAGGTTTTCTTATCTGTTTGGAGGAACACAGGGAATGCCCCAGTTTTTAATCTGAAGTTTTTACACTGCAACAGGACAACTGCTGTTTGCTTGTGGCTTCTCTCTGGCCAGTACTACTGACTTCTCACACTTGCAACAGCCCACCAGCAAAACATTAAACTCTGATCACCTTTGGTGTAATTTAAACTCAATCTATCTCAAGCCATTTTCAGATGACACAAATACCAGTCTGTGTGACTTCTGTCCACAGCAATGATACTTATTGTCATCCAATCAAAACTGACACACCTCAGCAGGCCTGGAAAGTCACTTCAGGCTCAGGTTCTCCTCCAAACTTCTCACCTTAGATTTCTTTTTATCTGCCTCTTCCTCCTGGTCATCCTCCTCCTCCTCCCGGTAATATACCTCAATTCCACTGTCATTTTCATCTGTGGGGCAGATCTTCCTTTTTTTTGGCTTTGCCTCCTGCAGCAAGGGGGAAATGAATGGATGGTGGAGGGCAACAACTGGGATAAATCACAAAGGCAATTCTGATCATAAAGTTAAGAGTGACAGCAGAGAAAGTGATGCCCTGGGCACAGCACCTCCCACTGTCCTCTCACACAACAGAGACAACAGAGAATAAACCCATGCTCACCTACATATGGTGTCAAGACCAACAGGACAGGTCCACAGGCAACATGATTTGGCTGCTAATTTAGTTAACTCCTACCCAAACTGAATGTTTTTTTCTGATCTTCAATACAATTTAATCTTTTTTTTTCCTACTCTGTATAATACCTCAGCCTGTTCCCAGTGGATATTCTTAGTCCCCCCGGTATGTGAGCCAACCAAGTCCTTTGTCATGTCCTGTGCAATCACATCCATACCTGCTCACTTTCAGAGCTTCTTATTCTCCGTTTTGTCTTCACCTTAAACTGTTCTCTCTTCTCCCTATCATCTGCCTGTCTTTTCTCTTCTTTTGCATCATATCGTGGTAGGCCCAGGGATTCAGGCAAGATGCTTGGCATCCCAGTGTCCTCAGGTAGGAGAGAAAGCTCAATATGTTTTTCTTTAGCATTTACACTGTGGTGCCAGGAGTAGCAGGAGACAAGGGGAAAAAAATAAATAAATATCAGAGCATTTACAATGACTACTATGAACTTCTTTCAAATCTTCCCAGCTTTTATCCTTCCCCTTTCCATTATCTCCTCCTCCAGCACCTCCTTTCTAGTAATTCACAGCCCCTTTTAAAGAATGTTGGACCTACCCAAGCACCTTGGCAGTGAGCAGCTTTCCTTCAGGCAGGTATTTTTCATATAGGGAGTGTTTCTGTACAAAGTAAGGGGAGACATTCTGGAACAGTATTCGGCCCAGAAGAGAAGGCGACAAGCTGAGAAGAGGAATAAAACCAAAAATAAGTATTCCACAGTGGGAGAAAAGCAAAAGCGCAGTGATTATATCTGTGGCACCACCAGTTCTATATAGCAACACACAAACTTCCCCTACTTTAATTTCATAAGCTCAAGAAAGTAACAATGACATCCTGATTCCTAGCAGCAAATTCATTTTGCAACACCACACTAGGCCAGAGACCACCCCCAAACAAGATTCCAGAATCATCCATTCAAAGTAAGTTCTCTGAGGCCCCTTATTTATCAGATTAATTTCCTAATGCTACTTACCCAAAGAATACACCTGATGAAGTGACTGATTTGACATAGCCTCTCACTAGCTGGCCTTTTTTAACATCTTTAATACATGTTATTTCAACATCCTCCACTTTGCTTTTGCTTTTTGGGTTTAGCCTAAAAGAAAAAAGAGTTTATAAATTAAAGCACCTACCTGAATAATCCACGTCCTGCTCTGAATATCAAAAAAAAGAAATCAGTATTAACAACAGCTTGTACTTTCTGGAAAATGTACCAGATCAGAGACACCCTTCAGTTTATTCAAATGTACTGATGGACTATCTGCATCTCTGCCAAACTATACATAACATTAGGAAACAGACATGCTGCTGTAAACAAAGCCAAACGTAACAGATCAGCCTGGCTTCCTCTGCCACTAAGAAGGAGAGTAAAATCCTACATGAAATTCCGTACAGCACTAGCTTGTTTTTTTTTCCCCACTTATTTCTAAGGTAGTTCATTCCACATGCTTTATGCATTTTTGTTCCTTAGAGAAGACAAAGCAAGAGGCTCAGTTTTAAGAGATAATTTAGGACCACATCTGATATTTAATCAAAATGGTTAAAATGCAGGTGAACACTGAAATGTAACATGTTTGTACTGCAAATTCAATAGTGGAACTTTCCCTTTCTTCCCAAATAAATATACAAAAGAAGTTAAGTCAGGTCTAGAAACTACAATAAAAAGGAAGATCAGCTCTACATTAAGGATCAAACATCCCCATGCCAATACACAGAAAAATCTTTCTGAAGTAGGAATAAGTCTCATCCCTAAAAAAGAAAAAAAAAGAACCCTCTAAACCTTGTCCTTTTAATACTTCACACTGGTCCATCTAAATCAACAGTTACTGTATTTTACAATCCTTTTCTTCACTAGGAGATCAACAGACTGATGACACATACCGGGATTGGCGGAGAGATAACTGGATTTTGCCGTTCTCATTGGAGATGATGTAACACCTGCATGGCAGAGTAAGGAGAGGAAACAGAAAACCTGTTAAAAAAAGACACAGGTAAAATAATAGGTATTCTCACCAGCAGAATGATGCTGCAGAGGTAAGAAACTACTCTGTCCCTCGGAGCACCTGCTGTTTTAACACAAGCTAACAGGACACAACTGTTCATGAAATCAGCTAAAGGGCTTTTTGAAACGTATCTACTTGCTTTACTCAGTCTCTATTGCTAGTACGGAAGAGTTGAAGATTGTTACAGCTGAATCACTTGGTCTGTGGCACTCTCCAGCATTCCCAACCAGTCTGTGAAGTAGGGAAATGAAATTACTTGTGCATTGCAAATGTAAAGACAGCTGACTTGCCAAACAGCTCACAGAACCACAGCAGAGCTCAGATAACTGGCTTTTCTTAGTCCCACCAGCAACTTAGTTGCTGCTCAAAACACAGCCCAAGAAGGGAACTGAAAAGAGTCATATATAAAAAAGGTAAGGTTTTCACCCAAACACATATAAGGTCTTAAGTCAGCATTACTTTTAGCTACAGACTGAACCTTACAGCTCTGTCATCATCTTATGACAGCAAAAAGCCTGTAACCAAAGGGGGACATTTCTAAGCCCTGCAGCTTGAGGGAACAGGAGAACTACTGACCTGACAATCTTGCCAGCTTTGAAGTCACCCAGAGGGTCCTCCGTGTATGTATCACTCAGGTGAAAGATGCTGACTTTGCCTCTCTTCCCACCTGGCAGCGTAATGGTCAAACCAATGTGTGGAGTCACCTTTGTTACCATGCCCACAGTGATGGTGCCCTGCTCCAGTGACTGAATTCCTGGAAAAAGTGAAGGAGGAATAGAGCTTCACAGACATCAAAAGTATGCAACCAAAGCAACAGGGGGAATGAGTCAGTGAAGCTGGTTTTAGTTGCTTAGTCACATATCAAACCCACCAACTTTTGGTAAGGTGCAGCCTATTCATTCTCAGTTCACAGCAACACCTGCCTTGGCAGCCCAGACAAGGTCCCTTAGTTGCACAGTTCCAGATCCAGAATAACTGACAAATGATAACAAATGTATCATCTCATGTCTGAGATCAGAAGGGAATATGTTCATAAGGGCTCAAAGGGGGGCTTCATGCTGAGACAGTAGTAAAGTGATTCTTTAACCTACAGGTCTGACCACTCTTGCCTTGCATGCTGCTACATCTGAGTCAGAGTCACGGGGGTTATTTCTGTCCTACAGGGAGGTACAGCTTGGCTCTGGAGTATCACATTTTCACTTGAGGGGTCAGTGCACATCGACCTCTGAGTAAAACATAGGCAGTGGGGTTCTGCTGTGAAGTCGCCACTATACCTGTGAGTGACAAGTAGAGGTTTGTTTCGGTGACACCTGTTCCAGTCACTGTAGCCGATATTGCCTGGCCATTTTTGAAGCTCTTTTCTGGATGTTTCAAGACCTGAAAGGACAGATTTCCACTTATTGCTAGAAAAAGAGCTCTGAGCAACTCTGGTGTTTCTTCTATGAAGCTTTAAAATTTCTAGGCACATCTTTGATGTATATACTTGACAGCATTGCTTCAATGGCTTTGCTGACCTGAGCCAAACCAGCTACAGGCATAGTAATCACTTGTCAGAGAGGTGCAGTGATGCCTATAACAGAGTACTGGGTTATAAGTTGACATGGATGTTAGAAGCATCTGCAGTCACTACTTGCAGCCATGTGCATGGAAAAAATTACATTTAACTTTATCTGTAATGGCCTCTTACCTTGGTGTTCAGAGACAGCAGCAGATGAGGAACTCTTCCTCGAATGTCAGGGGCAACTTCTACCTCCAGCCAATTCTTAAGGATGTTATACTGAGAAGATGGCACATAACCAGAGAAAACAACATGAGACCTTGGGGAAAAAAGTCCTTCCCTGGTGGGTTTGTTAATTTAAGGCTAGAAAGAACTACTTCAGCCTTAGCTCTTGCACCAAGCAAAAACAGTGATTTGGGTTCTACTCTTAAAAGCATAACACTGCTGTGATTCAGACAAGTCCTCACAGGGGATCACCAGTAAGAGTATTTTGTGCTGGTGACATATGCAATTTCTCAAAGCCCCCTTTGCTAGAGCCCAGAATGGAAAGCATCTGCTGGCAACACATAGGCATGTCAAAGAGGATGTGTCAGCTTGACTATGTTAAGCATAGAAAATGTGACTTCCTTCTCCCTTTAAGATGTTACACTTTGCATGGGCTACACTCAAAGTTAATGAAGACCCCAGCAATGTCAGTGTTTAGGTTTGAACTAAGACCCCTTGAGGTCACCCCCACTTGCTGCCTCCTCAACACACTTCTTACAAAGACTCTGACCTCACCTTTTTCACAAAGCAGGTGATTGTCTGTCCAACACTGTATAGTCCAAGTTTCTTGGTGGCACTGTCTTCTTTACGGCTCAGCACTGCTGTGACTTCCCCTTCTATTTCACTGTTTGCAAACAAAGAAAGAGGCTATCAGTAAGACAGCTTTGGTCCTAATTATGATGAAGATAGGAGTTAGAAACCCAGGGGATTATGGTGACAATGCCACTGTGACTTTCATTCCCACCCCCTCCCCAGCTGCACCCTCCTACAGGGAATTAATTCTTCCCTGGACTTGAGGGAATCATTCTGACATGAACAGATATACCAGACTCCAGACTGGCAGAACCTGAAGCCAAAAGGACATTTAAAGGAGGTCAGGTGCTAGGAAAGTTCTGTGAGGTTTAATACAGCTCACAGGCTCAAGTTATTGTGAAAGAGAGAGTAGGAGGCCTTGCCACACTGCATTCACATGAAGATACTTGCTCACAGCCAGCTCCTTCACAGATGGGAGGAGCAAGGGAGGAAACCCATAAGGATATAAGGTCTGTGAAGCACCTGCAGACAGCACAGAGACTGATACTTACCTTGGTCGAATGCTGAGCTCTGGAATGGACCGTGTGAAGTGTGGATGGGTGATAGGCAGGTATCTAAAGAACAGGAAAAAGAAATTTTCTCATGATCTCCCCAGGCCCCAGTCACTCACTTGTAATCCCTCCGCACTGGCAAAAGAAACCAGGTGTAAGCCCCCTAAAGTTACCAAAGCCTTCCTTCCAGTTTTTCCCAGTACTATTTCACTGGCAATTTAGGTACCCAAAATACTCCAGCAAATTTAGCCCCTATAGCCAAATCCTGCTTATATTTTAAGGCTTCCACTGGACCTTCGGAGTTTAGACATCTTTTTTTCTTACAATCTATACTCAAGATAAATACATTGACACAGGTAGAGAGCTAGTTCACTAAAACCTGGACTTGGGATAGAATACAATAGATTTCCTCAGGGTTCAACTACTCCAGCAAAGGTAGCGGTTAACAGCATCTGCTGACAGAGGGAACAGCCTAGAACATCTGAGTATCTGTTTTACCCTTCTCATTCTCCAAGAAGTAATATTATGTGCATGTTTTCCCACCTGTGAGTATTCACATCTCTGCCTCCAACGACTCGAGCAGTCACCTTCTGTCCAGCTTTCAGAGTAAACGTTGGAAAAGAGCCTATGGGAACTTCATCCAGAATCCGGGATGCATGGATTGAACCTGTCAGCTTGTCATCAATAGCAACTGTGACATGGGTTGGTTTGACAGATTTAACAGTACCAGTAACAACATCCCCCAGGGAAAGCGAGTGTTTCACAGCAGCAAGCACCTCTTCTAATGCTGTCTCAGATTCATTCCGGACCCTTACAAAAACATTATTCTTTGCTGAGCCTTGTACTGCTAATAGGAGTCCGTGGTCATTCTCCTTCACTGCTTTTAAGGTTGCAGAGATCGTTTGTCCCACCTTCAGTTTTTCTGAGTCAAAGCGGAAGGTATCATTGAAGTGAGATGCTATGGGGATAGCTGCCAGCTGGCCTGTTTCCAAAGATACAACAGCAAACTCTTCTGCTATGTGCTGCACGATGGCATAGTGCTGGGAGTTCTCTGTGAGCCGCTAGACAGAAATGGAGATAGTGACTTCTCCTGCTGAGACTCTGACTCCCTCCACTCTACCTCCCAGTTCTCAAAGAGGAAACAGCCCCCCCTCAAAATGCATTAATCGCCTAAAGTTTGCTAGATGAACAGAAACGCACAAATCCAAAAACCGAATACATACTTGCTTGGCTCTTCGTTTTAACAGTTCTTCCCGAAGAGAAACATAGACCTTGGATGAGAGGGCATCCACATGAAGAACCAGAGCCTTGGTTTTCTCACCAGGAATAATTTTTTTGTCTACAAATGAGAAAAAGGAGATTATCTCCTGATGACAGTGAAGAATTTTGAGCAACTGAGCTAGTAGCACATGACAGGAAGGGTTGCCTGTGCTCCAGTTTAACTCCTAAACAGCACAGTGATAAAAAGACTACTTAATTACTAACTGGAACTAAGTAACTGTAACAAAGTCAGCTTGGTACCAAATGTATAATAAGTCTCTTTCAGAAAAGAACAGATTCCTCCAACATTAATGGCAAGGAGCTAATAAAAGGGGATTTTTTTAATTTGGAAAGAGTCTGATCCTTTCATGGAAGAACTAAATTGATTTTATGAAGATGGAACTCTTCAATAATGCAGACAAGGCTGACTAAACACAAATTCAAGGTAATATGGGTTTTGAAAAATTATGCCAACACATGCACAAAAACATCATCACTTTAACTGCTGCTGGAAAACACAGAAGCGCTGGGATATTACTCCTGCTGAAGTTAGCAGTTTATATTCATCATCTCAGCATGTACTTGCTTGGTTCTGCAAAATATGGCACTTTTCTGCTTTGATTTTTGAATTGCAAAGTACCAAAATTGCAGACCTGTTTTAAAGTCCCATTGATCTAAAAGAAAAATTAACGGCAATTTCAGATAGAGAATTCTCTAAAGAATGTATTTCTAAAATAAATAAATGAGCACACTGAGAAAGCTGGAGCTTGTATTAGTACTTTGTCTATATGCAGTACAGTTCAACTAAGGATCTCAGAGCATAAACTAGACCTTATAAGATACCCAAGATCTCAGGCAGGTTGAGGTCCAGTTTAGAGATGAGGCAGCAGAGGCACAGGCAGGTTTAAAAGTTATGTTCCAAATCATGCAAATGGATGAATAACACATTAGGAAACTACTCTTCCAGTCAATCCCTACTCTGATCAGACTCCTCCTATGTTAGTTCCTTGTAATCAGAATTCATTTCAGGACAGAGGGTTCAAAGTACAAGAGTGAAACCCAAAGCAATCAAAGACAAAACCCTGACCTCCCAAATGGTAGCGAGTGGCTGTTACAGTCAAGCCTGTAACACAGCTGCCACTGAACAGTGCTGAGCCATCCTCCTTCACATCCTGCACAACCAGCTGCAGCTCCTTCCCAGGCACCAACTCACAAAGGCCTTGAGTCATGCTGGACTCCCCTAAGTAAAAGGAAAAAAAAGTGGGAAGTCAGTTTTACTTGTGTCGTTTCTTTGCAAAACAAAGACAACCTTCACATCTGCTCAAGAGTGCACGAACATTTATATACACCTTCATAACAGAAAACAAAGTTCAGACTCCTGAATCTGTAGAAATACAAAGTCAACACTAAGAGTTAATCAAAGCAGAAACACTTTTGTGACATGAAGGATCTGGTAATTTTCAAAAGAATATTTTCCAGTCTTACAGAAACACTGGCACCTGGCATTGCATGCAGTAAAAGGTAAAAATAAAAGAGATTAATACTACCACAAAACAGACCTATTACTTCACAATTCTAAGAAACAAAACATTAAAGACAAAAATGTTTTGTAATATTTGTAACAAGATGTCACTATAGGTGAAACCTATAGAGTACTAAAAATTAATTACTGTCAGATTCAAATAGATAATCAGACAAACAGAGACAATGCTTCCTGCGACACATAATTAAATGGTGAATTTACTGGCATTATGTCTCAGTTGATTAAATTTTAGATTGGTTCATAAAGGAATTACAAACATTCACACCAAAAAAGCAAGGCTGGAGTAAGGCTTTGGTCCACAGAATATCCAATCTCACCCTGGCACCTTCACAGCACTTCAAGGAATCCATCCTTTTGTACCATTGCTATCTCCCCTTCCTCTTTTGGTATATGGACCTCACAGTTTGTCTATTTTCCCCTTATTTTTAATTCTCTTAGACACCTTGCAACCTTAAATGAAAAGAGCAGCTTCTTCGGCTTGTTCCAGCTGTAGTTCCAAAAAGCCTTCTTGGTTTCAATAGCAAACACTGCAGACATGACCCTTCTCCAATAAACTCCTCTTGGAAGCCATGTCTTGCTTGAACTGACTCTTTCACTTAAAAGAAAATGGTTTTCCCTCTTTGTTCCCCTGGAGCCCCTTCTTTGTGATATGATCTCCTTTAGCAGAATATGTGAAATCTTTTACCTCTTCTTCTCAACAAATTCCTGATTTCTTTCATCTCCTTGAAATACTGATTCAGTAGGGCAAAGCTCTCTGCAGCAGAATCGCCTGAGCTGCATTCTGACACCTTCAGATTGAGGAGCACGCGCTGCTTCTCCTCATCAATGCTCATCACCTTCGCAATCACAGTCTGTCCCACCACAAAGTGGTCCTTGGTGTCCGTCACAAACTTGTCACTCATGCTCTGTGCAAAGAAAACAAAGGGGCATGGGTTACTGAGCACAGCTGCTAGCTATCACCTGCAGCACTTCTCACAACACGGGTTTATGTTAAGACTTCATGAAAATGCGTAAGGAAATTCAACAGAGACTATCAAAAAAACATCAATTAAAATTAATTACTGAAGTCACATGAAATCCTTGCTGAAACTTAAGCACACCTGAATAAAAGTCCTTAGTTTTATTTGGAAGTGAATTCAAACACAAACTTAAAAGCAGCTTTTACCCTACCGAGGGGAGCGGTGCAAACACAGGATCTACAGCCCTGTTGTTTGCTCGTTATGGTACCTTTGCCAAAAGCCATGTTCCAGGCATAACTGATTAAACACAAGCTGTTTACTGAAGTGAGGGTACTGCTTACCACTTTGGGTGCCAGTCCTGTCACACCAAAAGGGAACTCCACAAACACTCCAAAAGGCATAACATTCCTCACGTAACCAGTCAACAGCATCCCAGGCTGGATTTCAGAGAAACTTCTCACAACCTGCTCCTCCTGTACTGCAGAAATCACTGCAGACTTTCTGCTCAAGATCTGAACAACCAGTTAGGAAAAATGGGAAAAGATGAATGAAAGGAGCCTCATACCAAGCAAATCTCTTGGTGCTGCTGACCACTGAGCTAGAGTGCTTTTTGGATGTTAGACAACTCAGGAACTCAAAATCCTGCAATTCCAATTTCCGTCTTGATCTCTCTGCACTGAAGTTTAGCAACTGATGTCTCTTAAGCTGCTCAGCATTAAAGATGCATGTTTCACACTAGCAGAAATGTCAACTTCCTAAAATTTCAGTTCTGATTTTTAGTGTGAAAACAGCAAAATTTTTGCTCAGGCTGTGATATGATTAACAGCCTAGAAGCTGGTTGGGAAGATCAGTCAATTCACAACCAAGTCCTGGTTCTGATGGGATTCTAGCAGCAGCTGAGCCACACTTCTAACACAAGCAAGTTATAATGACTGTTCGAAGCACTAATAGTTTGACAGGCATATCCGCTTCAGCACACTAACTAGTGTATCTTCTGTTTGTTGCAAATACTCAGGATTCCTGACATATACCTCCTCCCCACTTCTCTGCTTGACTGGTTGGGGTGGCAAAGGATACAATACGCTCTCCGTTGTCACTTAGGCACATAACTCTGGGCAGGACATCTCCCTCTTGAAGACAATGCCACAGGAGCTTGCAGGTAGCAACAAAGTCAGAGAGGTGCACTGTGGGAATTGAGGCTATCACATTGCCTTCATCTTCCAAGACAGAAACCTCTAGCCCATTATCTTTCTTCTTCAAGACTTTTACATCAACCATCTGAAAAGAGGACAAATACAGTGATATAAAACTCCAAGTGTCGTTGAAGTTATCCCTTTCAGTGCACTGGGTACCAAATGCTGTGCTGCAGGGGCTCTGGCACTGCCTCCCAGCTATACATGAAAAAATCTCACATCAACAGGGCTGTGCCTAAAAAGCACATCAACACTGTTAGTAAAATAAAAAAGCAACACTCAGCTACCAGAGAAATCTAGCGTTACAAACATTCTCTTGGTTTTTATTTGAAGGGTGAAGGGAATAATTTAAACAAGATTAGTACTGTCCTGTTTCTGCAGGGCAATACCTGCAGGGTGGTGGAAACTGTGTTAATTCCAAAGACAACATGGAAGCATTTAAAAACATTTTTCTGAAGCTGTGTTTTTCCAGAAAGCAAAAGCAACTGGTTTTGGAGTGAGAGTATCAGCAGCATGCAGAAGAAAGAGGACTCCACCTAGGAAAAGGAGCACTAATTGGTACCTCCAGAAGGACTGCCCTGGGACTCCTTTATTCTGACCTTTGACAACAGAGGTTTTGATCCAGGAGACCAACCACACAACAAGAAATGCATATTTAATGCTAGCTCCTGACAAACAACAGATTTGCTTCAAAATTATACCAAATCACTTGGAAAACAGGTAGCAAAAGGTAAAAAAAGGAAGCTGTCATTGAATTCAATACCTCTCCTATTTGATATTTCACTTCCTGTTTCTTCTTTGGAGTACATTCCTTTTTGCTGTCCAGGGCTGGTTTGCTTGATAACCTGAAGGACAACAAGAGTCTTTCCTGCTGGGGCTCACATTTTAAGACCATTACTTTAACAACCTGTAGCAAAAAAAAAACAAAAAAAAAACAAAAAAAAACCACAAAAGTTTAATTCACCTGATACTCCTCCTCAGTGTGCTACCAAAATGAGACTGGAAAACGCATACACAGTATACTTTTTCCTTATTCCTAAGGGCAGCAGGCCAGTGGCGAGAATTTAACAGGTTCGATCAGATACAAATGTCTTTCTGATCACACAGATGGAAAATGAAAGTACACAATAATTAAATGACTTGTTAAAAGTATGCTGCAAGTCTGTAGCAGAGTTGAGAATAAAATTCAGATCTCCAGATTTACAGTCAGAAATCTTGACTAGAAAATGACCCTTCTTTTAGACAGCCAAACAGCAGCATTGAAGACAAATAAAAGCACCAGAAAAAAAAAACAGAGAGGGCTGAGATCTGTATAAGCTTGTGCACAACAAAGAACAGAACTTGGTGAGCAACAAGGTTCCCAGAGCATCTGGTTTAAGATGTGTAGGATTTGAAACAAACAGGAAAATTAGAACAATGCAGAGGCAGAAAATCTCATCTTTCTGATTCTATGGGTAAGAGTTTCAAATTTCTCAGAAGAAACTGCAGCCTAGACCCTGTATCACATACCATGGTGCTTCCCGCACACCATAACAGGCAGCCTAGAAACAAAGACAGGTCTGTGAAACACTCAAAGAGCTGCCTCTTTCACAGCCTAATGTGCTTAAACGGGGTACGATTATTACTTAGAGTGAAAGAACATAAAGATCTCTTGGTGTAGCTGGTTTCTCAAGGGAAAAACCCACGTTGGAGCCAACTCAACTGCAGATTTCTCTTTTGCATTCAAACACAATGCATGGCATCAGTAGAGTAATTACCTGTCCTTCATGGAAGACTTTATCGGGACAAGATATGGGTTCTGAGCTCAGCTCATTCTTGGGTACCAGACCTTTGACATCATTGTAGAACTTCACAATGCAGCCAAATTCCCTTGCACACACCACAAAGCCATGTGTGATCAGACCTGGTTTTGCATCTTCATAATTGGAGAGGACTGGAAGTTTCGATTGAACAAGATTTTTCTTTAAAGTAAGGATCAGCTTCTTTCCTGCAGGATTGCACTCCAGCACCTGCAAGAATGGAGTACGAGAAGGTTCAAAAAGTTTGTCTGCCATTGCCTGACCAGTTCAGCCACGAAGTACTCAAAACAAAAGCTGAAGACCCTGTCTGGCAGCTCTCACCCGACACCTGACTTGATCTCCTATGTTATACTTCTTTTCAGGCTGTTTGAGGATCACATCAGCAAGATGCATAGATGGCACAAGCCCTTTAATCGCATCAGTCACTTTCACCTGCATCCCAATAGGTTTCAGAGCAAACACTTTACCCTAGAACAGAAAACAGGAAAAAGAATCAGTAGATATAACATGAAAAGCTGACCATGCACGGGTAGCAAATGGTCAAGACACTGCATTACCTATTATCACCAGATCTTATTGCCCTCTGAAAAATAAAATCTTAGTCCAACCCATACTCCAACCCAACCAATCTGACCCATTAACTTTTAATGATTCCATAAGGTTGTTTTACAGCCTCTTTTCATTAAGCATAGGCTACTTCTGCAAAATCCCTATTGACTCTGGGAAACTAGAATTGTTTCCAGAGACAAATGCAATACAGTCATGACTCAGGCGTAAGAATGATAACTGAGTTACTTTCTGCCCAACAGCTAACTGCAATGGTCCACATATGAACTTTTTTACGTTGAGTGCAAGGTGAGTTTTAGTTTCTTTCTCTCAAGCCTTTCTAAAAATGTATTCATGGTCATAAATGACTGACCATGGCTAAAATTTTATTCCCTTGGCAGCATCATGAATAAAAAGCTGGACAAAATGGGGAATGAAGAGTATTGCATTCCATTAGAGTCCTGCAAGAATTGAGTCCCCCTCAATTTCATCTCTCTAGTCTGGATCAAAAGTTGAACACACATATTAGGCAGAGGAAATGCACATTAGCTAGATCACTGTTCTAAGAATAATGACCACACAGTACTGTTTAAGTCCTTCAAAAACTTACCTGCACCACATCCCCTGTGTGGATATCTTGGTACTGCAGAAACCGGGCTTCAATAATCTGACTAGGAAAGAGACACAGCAAGAGATGACCAATCAACTTGAAGAAAGTCCAGGACAGGAGACAGTCCCTTACTTGCCTTGCCCAAAATATTCATTATCCCAACACACACAGCCACCCACCCACACTCCACAACTCCAGAGTTCTATGTTTTACTCTAACTGACCCACCTCCCAAAACAACTCTCTGGATATAAAGTTCAAGGAGGTTCACCAGGCTCCATTCCAGGTGACAGCCACACAGTTATGGCCACCAGCCACGGCTCTATGAAAGCGAAGCCAATTACCCACACTGCTTAAAACCACAGAGATGGAATACTGAGAGGGAAGAGAAAATTGGGCTGGGACTTGGAAGATCAAGGTTCAATTTCCTGTCAGTTACAGTCTTCTGACATGATCTCAGCAGAAGTAATTTAGCCTCCCTGTGCCTCAGCTCACCAACTGAGTTACAAACACCGTTGCAGCAAAGCAATGTTGCACTCTCAACCACCCATTTCTAATACTTCAACCAATATTCTGGAAGAATCTATGAAACTTACTACTTCAGAGATACAATACACATCTCATCCATCAGGCTGTAGTCAATGATTCGACATTTATGTTTGCATCCTGCTTTAAATGCTCCAGGTTTAAATGATTTTCTGGTTTTTGAAAGATGTTTCAACTAGAAAAAACAAATTACAACTTAAGTGTTTAGAAAACAGAAGCACTGATAGACCCCTTAGGTTGAAGTGGTAGCATCTGACAAAACTGATCCTCTACATACTCTCTGTATGAAGCAGGTTTCACCATTTCTTCAACAACCCTCCTACATTTCAACCCGAACAAGGGGAGGTATGATTTGGCAAATACCTTCCACATTGTCTTAATTTTGTTACATTTGTCTCCTCCTAGCCTCCCTCCCCAGTAGGCCAAGATAGCTATGGAGGACTTGCCTCACTACCCTGGCACTTACCCGTGCAAATGCAAGAGTGCCATCATCAAGCTCAAAGACTGCACCAAACTGCTTGTAGAAAGCTTTCACTGTCGACTCCTCCACCACTGCCCCTATGCGATCATTGGAGACCTGGTCTGGGGATCCCCCAGGGTGGAGGAAGGCCTGCCGCAGAGTGAGCCGCACCACCTTGGATGTGGGGTTGATAGAGATGATGCAGGCTTTCACCTGGGAGAAGAAAATACTGTGTTTGTTAAACAGAAGCTTGTAAACAAAAGAGCAGAAAGGCATACTGCTCATGTTTTTAGACATTATGCTTGGCACCTGAACTCTCTGTCCATGTACAAATACTTTCCAGTATTTACTACTATGACATCACTTCCATTTTAACAGCTTCACAGATGAGGGAGTTCTGCTTTTGTCTGTTTTTACAGACTGGTCTGGTAATAGTGAAGTGAGGGGAACACGACTGCAACAAGTAATGTTTCTATCACTTGCAAGTCTCTCATGCTTCCCAAGTCAGTATTCCATTAACCCAGGAATTACTTTGCTCATTACAACTCTAAAGCAGCCATGATAATTCAAATAAAGGATGAGAAAGGCAGCTATCATCAGCAAGATTTCAGAGGCTATTCCACAGAAATTTTGGAGAAGAGATGTTGTAAGCAATATACCAACTCCAGCCATCCTTCACCCTCCTTACCACTTGATTTGGAGAATAGCTCGTGGATTTCTCTGGGTCCATGTGCATGAAATCCACAATGCCAGTGAAGAAAGACAGAAAGCTCAGCTTGATCCCAAGGGGGGCCACCTAGGAAGGGGAAGGAAAAAATGCCAAAATAAGATTTTCACTCCATTTTCATGCAGTTCAGAGAGCAATTCACAAGTTTCACAGAAAGGCACTGCCAGTGCCAATCAACAAGCACAACACAAGAGACCAGAAAACTTCTAATGATTCTGCTTTCTACATTGTTTTGCAAAAACAACCCTTGAGATTTTTAATAATGTTGTGTACACTCTGAAGACCACTGCTAATCTGTTTAATACTTTACCTAGGTAAATGCCAGAGAAACACAAAATGGATCCTGTTCTGCTTCAAGCTTCATCACCAACTTCAGGCTGAAGCCTTTATATTCATGGCATCACAACCAGGACTGAGATCACACCTTAGATAAATGATGTGGAGCAAGTGTCTAGTAGTTAATACTGTTTGCTACTGTAAGGTAATTAAGCCCAAGTACAAAACTTTCCAGAACATAAACTTCCATCTCTATTTCAGCTGTCTCTCTGTCTTAGCAAGGCTCAAACACACCACACTCCCAAATCAAATCCCAACCAGAGCTTACCTTCTGCACTCGAGCTTTCACCACCAGCCCTGGCAATAAGTTTGAGAGTGACCAGTTCTGTCTCTCTGTTGCAAGGGATGAAGCAACCTCTGATCGGTCAATGGACAAAAGGACCACTCTTCCCTCGTTCTTTACTTCCACAACAACACAGTTCAGATTCTGGCCTATTTTCAAGTCAGACCCTACAAGGACAAGCCACAGCATAAAACCTCCACAGGGAACATTCAAGGATTCCCTTCCACTCTTCCCAAATCTTTTTCAGAGTTCCCTCTATTGAGGGAACTATGAGAAGTCCTCTCAATTCAAGTGAAGTCTACCGCCATCAGGGATGGACAGACTTGGAACAGTAACATAATCTATCAGAAAACAGGCTGAAACCCAGCAGTTTGTTGCAGACCACCCACAAAACTGTTTTCAGCAACTTGCAATGATTCCACATTGACCCAATCTCACTGAGGTGCACTAAAACCACAGATAAAATAGGCTTTAATCAGTCATTCTCCACCTCCCTTTTAACTCCTGCACTACTTCTTACCTCTCTTGACTGTTTTGATGTAATTTTGGGCTTTCTGACGAGGCAGGAAAGCATTAGTCCCACTGACTCCAATATCAATGAGGTAGCCGTGGTCTTCCACACTAGACACGACGCCAGAGAGCAGCTGATGGGAGAGAAGCACTGCTATTCAGTAATGTGATAAAACACCTGGGTCTTCAGAGAATGCACATCTGCTAAGGTATTTCCCACCCAAGCACTCACTTGTTTCATAGGACAGAGAACTGATGTTTCCAGAGCAGCAGAAAGAACACAGTATTATTTCTTACTATACAGCTCACACGGCAGTGAGGTCTCAGCTCTACCCTTATGGGACTATGGATGGATGGATTTCATAAACCAGAAAGGGAAAAAATTTGGATGCTCAAAACCAAAAGTAATGAAGAAATCTACCCAGAAAGAAATCATTAAATAACTTGTCCATAACAAAGCAGAATCAGGCAAATGGGTTTCATGAGAGACAACCTGGTGCCAAGACCCAGTACTATCCTCTTCTCCCAGGTCTCCTATGGTGGGAGAAGCTCCACATTCTGCTCTGATCTCATGCAAGGACAAATTGAAATGTTCCCCCATGCATTATGCAAGAGGCACCCAACCTAGAGAGGCTGTGACAGACCCAGAGCACGTACCATGCCTGATGCTAGTGCTGAAGCATTCAGTCCCTTATTGACCTTCTTGGGGTCAATCGATAATTTGACACTCCGACGTCCATCAGCACTCTTCTCAATAGTGGTCACAATACACCTGACCAGTGTCCCTGGAGAATACAAGTCCACGAGCGAATTCAAGTCCTGCCCGGGAAGATGATCAAGAGAAAAACATAAAAAAATTATTATTTTACATAATATAGAAAGGTGTTGTGACTTAACCCCAACCAGCAACTAAGTACCACGCAGCCCATCACTCACTTCCCCACCCCACCACGCACCCGGTGGGACAGGGAGGAAAATCAGAAACAGATAAAACCCATGGGTTGAGATAACAACACTTTAATAGTTAATATCAGGATATTATAAAATAATAATATATATTATCGCTATAAGTTGTTAGCAATAAAAGTAAAAAGAGAGACATGAACTCCAACAACTGATGAACATTACAACTGCTTGCCACTCCACTGAACAATTACTTTCTTTCGAGCAAACAGCACCATCAGGTAATTGCAGATTTGCTTGGAAAAGCCAGTTCCAAGTCAAGGTCCGTCTATATCAGCACTAGACAGAAGCATGTTGCATTCATCAACACACAGTTAAACTGCAAGCACTGTACTACTTGCCATGCCTCTCAGAAACACTTGCACCCTCACATCATTTTCCAGCCACTTCCCTAACTTCTTTCCATCACTGCCTACAGCCAGGGATCAGTATTTAGCTTCAGCAGCAGACAGGCAAAACCAATCTCTTCACGCTCAACAGACTGTCTATAAAGTTCAAGGATTATTTAGCCACAGCTAAGGCACTGTAGACAGTCAAATTCAAGTCAGCAGCAAGACACCATAAACCAGGATCCTAAGCAAGACTTCAGGATTGGTTCTGAGGTACTATTAACAATCCCTAGCTCACAGACACAGACACAGTCCAAGGTCTTACCTCCAGAAGTTCTCCTTGGGCCACCTGCTTGCTCAGCAATTTGTTGTAGGCATCACTGATCTGTGTGACCGGCACAAATCCTGAAAGTCCATTGGGCAAACTTACAACTAGCTCGTAGTCACTGACCTCTTTTATACAGCCAAGGAGCAGCATCCCCTCACAGAGTGCCTGGGAAAAGAGGAAGAATAGCATATTGTGGTTATCAGGATGGTAAAGACATTTCTGTCCTTACCTCAGCGAGGAAGAACATGCCATTTTTACATAGCCCAGAAGAGAGATGTGTACAAAAACATTTTACCACAAACCTCAATCATCAATGGCTCAATAGTCACAAAACTTTCTTTAGCAGCAGCTATGTTGTCTGCTTTGAACTTTTTTTTCTTTCCTTGATCCTTTTGGCTCCTTTTTCTTTTCTGGGACTTTTCTTCATGGCGAACCTAAAGCAGATTATAAACAGAGAGCGTAAAATATAAAAGTGGATAAAGAGATGAACTCTGCACTAAGGCAGAACTCCACTGCCAGGAATAAAAGTAGAAGCAAATACTAGGATTGGAGAGAAAAAGAGAACCACCCTGGTAACTGCTGCAGACCTACATGTAAGTCTTCCAAAATATCTCCTTTGGGCTGAAGCTTATCATTTATGAAACTGTGAATCTTGGGATGGAAGAGAGTGGCACAAGATCTGCACCACACAACTAACAGAAACAGAAAGACCAAACTTAGCCTATACCCATTAACACCAGCCTCACTACACAAGCACCTCGGGGGAAAAAATGCTTACAGATAGTTTAGAAGCTAAAGCCTGCTCAGTAATTTTGATCTAACTTTTTCTGTTACCACATTTAATATGCATCAGACATTGGGGATCTTTAAGTGATCACGAGAAAGGCAGATGTCAGACATTATCTCTTCTTGCAAGTCCTTTCTATAGTTTGTTATAGAAGTGAGGGATAGGAAGGATTGCAGGTCATATTCTGAGAGTGGAACAGCCCTGAGAAGAGTTAATCAAGAACACACAAATAACATACATCGAACAAATTGTCCCGCTCTAACTTTGTGTTGAGTGTTTTTCCCTCTGTGGGTTTTTTCTGGATGCCCCCTCGAGGAAAGTTTTCTTCCATGGATGCCATGCTTGCACTTCTGTAAGACAAATGATAAAACAGAAATTTGACATGCAGTTGTTAGGCTTGTTCCTCGTAAACACTGAAGAGATACAAGAGTGAACTGCCCCTAAACTAAGAGAGAATTCAGATTACAGTTGGTCATTGACAGAACATAATCCCTGAATGTATTTAACATTTGATTACACTAATTATTGCAGTGGCCCATCTAAATTGATACATCCCTAACACTTTTTACTATTACCCAATTCTACAGCGTAATAAAGACTAAAGTATTATTTTTTTAAAGCATATAGATGCATCACATAGATATTCATTACACTGCTTGAACCATAATTTTCCTGAACAGTGGACAAGCCAGAATTACCAGCTTCAGTCATCAAGGAGAAAGTTATGAATGAAACTAAGCAAGCACGGTATGCAGTGTCACTTTTTGGATACCACCTGTAAAGGGTAAGCTATAAGATATATATATAGTTATATATATATAAGAAAATCTATTCTATAGCATATATTCTATATAGAGAGAGCTATAGAGTAGCTCTATTACATACATATAACAGAATCACAGAATTGACTAGGTTGGAAAAGACCTTTAAGATCATCAAGTTCAACCTTTACCCCTGGAATGCCTAGTCTCCACCATGTCACTAAAACAGATGTTCACCCTTACTACACTTCCATGAATAAACAACACCTCACTCACTAGGTCACGATCCACATGCTATGCATTACTTTAGTCAACAGCACCTCTGAAGAACCCTGCACTGAAACAGGACGTTGTCAGATTTAAAGCAGTCTGCCAGGCACAGAGAACTCATTTAAACGAGAAAGCACACGTAACACTGAAGCTCACGGAGGCACACTTCAGCAGAGGGCTCGCTAAGCCACAGAGTCCCCTTCCGCCGCCGGTACCCGAGCCACGCCGCGCAGTGGGAGCGGGCAGGGCAGGGCTGGAGCTCTGCCCGCAGGGGCCTGGCCTCACCTCCCCGGCCGCCGCCGCTCCGTCCCCGCAGCGCCTCGCTGGCCGCCGCCGGCAGGCCGCCACTGAGAGCCACACGCGGCAGCACGGCCAGCCGCCGGAAGCAGTACCTAGGGCAGGAGGCAAAGGTCAGGCGGAAGCGGCGAACCTCTCCTCAGCCAACCAGGAGGAGGGGGCGGAGACAACCCTCACACTGGAGAGAGGGCAGCCAATCAGCGCGGCTTGCGGTGGCTGCGCGCGGCGCTCTGCGGCCGCCATTTTGTGGGAGGGCACTGAGGAAGGGCAGAGTGAGGCGGCGGCGGGACAGCGGTAGCGGCTGAGGTACGGCGAGGAGCGAGCCTGACTCCGCAGACCCCTGCCCGTGCACCCCTCTTATAGGGCTGTACCGCCGGGCGGGAGGGTGGCTCTCCGTGGCTGCGGGCTGCGGCTGTGCCCGGGAGCCCCCGCGACCTTCAGCCTCTGCGTCCCTTCCCCTGGCCTGAGGGAGCTGAGGGGAGGGAGCGCCGGGGTCGCGGCTGTCTGAGCCAGCGAGATGGGCCTGGCTGCTGTGCGGGGCTGCAGCGAGCGCGGCAGCCGGTGGCGCCCGGTGTCAGGGCAGCAAGGGGGAGCGGCCCGGGAATGGCAAGGGCACCGGGCTGTTCTGATAAAGAAAAGCTGTATAGAAGTGTTTGGGCTCTGAGCCGGCCTCGTTAAGACGCAGTGACTCCAGGGTTTTCTGTCGGTCAGGCGTAAGAAAAGATGACCTTGACTTTCCAAGTCACGTACGGCTAATACTTACGGAGTTTGTTTCATTGAGATTTTTAGCTGTTAGTCCACTTGCAGGCGTGCTTACCTGATTATGCACCAGAGATACATTACTGGATTGAGTTTGCTTAAGAGCGATGTTAATTAGCATAGTACCTGCTGTAGCAATGTCTTGTGTCCCTCTTCTGCGATACCAGCGGCTAGAGCATCTGCCTGGTTTGATTGGTAACCATATGATATGTGTGCTTGTTTTGGGGTGCGTTACAAAACAATATGTTTGTCCTAAACATCAATCCCTCTTAAACGTAAGAAAAATGTATCTTTAAACATTAAAAAGAAAATCACTTTTATTCTAAGTTTGACAAACACTGGAACAGTTTTCCCGGGGAGTTGTGAAGTCTCCATCTGTGAAGGTATTAAAGACCTGACTGGATGCATTCCCCTGATTTGGGCAGGTTGGGGTTGGACTGTGCCATCTCTGCGGTGCCAACCTGAACCATTTAGTGAATCTGGAAGTACACTACTGTAGCCACACCATGCTTTTATGTTACTGAACATCTTAGATGTGAAACTTTAGTCCAGACACAGACAAAATATAAGTGTGCCCTCATGTACTTAGTGTTTTTGTTGTCCTGTGAAAGCACTTCTGAGGCTGGCTCTAATAACTTGCTGATCTAGCTGAAAAATAACTGGAGAGGAAAAAAAAGTATATTTTTATCTAGATCTGTGAACACTAGGGTTAGAAAGTAAGATGCAATAGAGATGTACAGCTGAGAGCAACAACATTACATTACCAACATTTGCACTTTAATATGGTATGGATGTTGTAAAGCATCATTTTGAATAACCAAACAGAGTAGTGGTCTACTCCGAATGTTGTCACTGAGTTTTTGAGTATCTCATTGAGCTGTTTCTTAGCTGAACCAGTGAAGATTCATCTTAATTGGGTACTGCGGATTCATGAACAATTGGTAGAAACTTGTCTGTGATGAATGGTTGTGTTGGCAGGACTGGCAGGACTTTTCTTCACAAGTATTCTGAGGATTTTTCCCTTTTAGAGTCATCATCCTGATGTTTATTGGTTTTTATGGTTAAACCCATTTGAATGAACTCTGAAAATCATAAATGTTCTTCCTTTCAGAACCCCTCATTTACTTACCAGCTCTTGTGTAACCTGTTTTGTACCTTAAGATACAGTGCTCTGAAGGTGCCCGCTCCATGTGTGTATTCACTGTCTGTTGAATGTCCTGAAAGCAGATTTAATAGCTGACAGTGGCATTCCTAAATTCAGTGTCAAGGTTAGTTTGATTTTTCTGTTGATCCTGTCCAACTGACTTTCAGTTCATTAACTGTCCTGTATTGCTTGTTAGGACAAGCAGCCATGGCTGGCCATGACTCGGGATCTCAACACCAGTTCACTGGATTTGCGAAGTACTTCAATTCCTACACCATCACAGGCAGGAGGAATGTATGTGTTACGTATATTAACTGCTGTAGTCTAGGATGATGGTGTTTTCTGGATATTAGACTGAAACTAAACTTTTATCTTTTCCAGTATGTAATAGCAACGTACACGGGCATTGCACTGATCGTCTTGTATTTCAAGCTTAGACCCAAAAACAAAACTCCTGCTGTGGCAGATAAGTAAATGGTAAGTGTGTTCCAGGACCAAAATGTTTCAGCACAAGGCCAAGAAGAAACAGTGATAAGGGACATGTTGCTAACAATCCAGTGTGATTAGAGAGAGAGAAACACAGGCATGTGAACTTTGTATTTATAATTTTAAACCTCAGCTAAACCATAGCATCAGCTTATTTGGGGCATTCTGAATTAAGTAGGTTGTTAAAGGGGGATGTAGTCAATATAGGGTACCAGAATTCTTTTTGTTTTGACATGGTGAATGGGACTACAGACAGCGTGCAGGGATGAAGGGTAAGCAAGGAAGGAGGAATGGAAGGGTTTGCAGTTAGGCATATCAGGCTTTGCCTACAACTATTGGGTGCCTCTGGTCTGACTTTTTGCTGTAAAATAGGAATAACTGTAATAGGAAAAATGACTGCTACTGCTGAACCCATGACACTGTTGCTTTGTATGTTATTGAAATAATAAAATAGGAGTTGAGGACTTGGTCGTATTAGAGAATTCCAAGCAGAGGTTAATGCAGTCTGTTAAACCTTTTGAACAGAATAGAGGAACACCATGCAATGGAGCTATATATATTGCACACCTGACTGTGCAAGGACTGTATAGAAGCGATTGCTCTTGTATAGCAACAACCAAGTGTTACAAAATTGTAGAGTTGCTTTCAAATACAAATTTCCACTGAAATGACATTTCAAAAAAACTATGGGCTGTCTTCATAGTCTTCCAAAAGGGGTAGGAAACAATAAGCTTGAGCATCATTGTGTGTTATAAAGGGACCTCGGTTGTTCCTGTGGATGCTGGAATTTGCCTGCTTGTAACTAAAATTGTTTGGGCTTGGGGAGAGGGGGGGCTCAGTTACTAGTACCACTGTGCAAGACTGCTATGTTTGATCTCTCTTCTCTTGGCAGGTTGCTGGCATGTCTGAACCTCCAATCTGTATCAGTGTAATGCAAGCTGTTGTGGCTAATAAAATTGAAATGATTACTTGTTTTATTTGAAATATGAAATGGTGCAAAAAAATAACAAATGTGAACTTCTTGTTTTTCCTCTGTCAAAAAATGGCTATTTATAGCAGAGATGGAGTAACTGATCCTTGTAATTACAATCTTAACTAAACTCTTCTGTTGTTACAATACATCCTAAAGTGTTCTGAGCACCTGGAAGTAACCTGGGAAAGACCGTAATGCTGGCATAGAGCTTAGAGCTGGTGAAAGTATCTCCACACTTCCATGTCTCAGTGGGTAATGGTGGGCTCACATGGTTTGCATTTACCTGTTTGCTCCTATATTTTTGTACTCCAGGCTAGTAGCTTACATGGAAATCATGACTTCTTCACAATTATTAATGCAGTACAGATGACAACTTCTGTCTCAGTTGTCCATATTTTGCATAGGTCCTGTTTGGTTATCATGCAAAACCTCCCACATTAGACTGATAAATGATGGTATTTGATTTACTTGCCTTTTAGAGATAACTGCCAGAAAGAAAATGGCTTACTTTGATGATGTTAAGCTCTTGTAACCCTGCATGTTTGTAAACAGTCACTGAAGTATTTCAGTTTTTCTTGGACATAGACTCTTAATAAATGGGGCGCTCCTACCACAGTTAAATATATGCAGTCCCCTCCCAGCCCAACACTAAAACTATTTGTTGCATTCTCCAGTGTCTTTCTGTAGCTCAGTACACAGAACCTGCCTTAGATGTCCCCTCAGTGCTGATGTATAAATGTGATTATAGGGCACCACATTTTTCAGATGGGAGCCAGCAGCAGGGTTGACACTGGGACTGCTGGTGCTAAAGAATGCAACTATACTCCCAAACTGAGGGCAGGAAGAGGTAGGCATGGTTGCTTGATAAAAAGGAGAGAGAAATTACAGGTCTCTGTGCTCTCTCACTCTAGTTTATGTATTTTTTTAAGCCATTTGTAGATTCTGGGCTTTCTGATTAAATGCAGTCATCTTCCTCTCCTGTGAGTTTTAATAAATGGCCTTTGCTGTATGCAACCTTCCAGCTGAATACTGGTTGTTGTAACAATGTAATAGATCCAGTTAGCTACAACCTATCATCTACCCTCAGGTGATTTGCCTGAAACACCTTGTCATCACCTGCTTCTGAATTACTTTGTTTCTCTTAGCAGAGTGCTCACAGATAAAAGCACTGCTCTTGCTTCCATTGCAGCCAAGAAGAAAATACTTTCTTGTAACAGAAGACACACAAACTGTGGTTTTAGTATTTATTATAGTATCAAAAGTATAAAACTGTACAAAATATAAAGGCAGAATATGGCAGTGTTGTTTTTAAGCTGTCAAAATTACATGCTTTGTTTTAGGTAACTTGATTCACCACAGTTGTACTTAAGTCCAGCTGGGCCTATCGAGAGCTTGGAAATTTTGTGGGGTACCATTACACACACAAAAAAAGAGAGCATAATATTTAGATTTAACATCTTTTTCTTTAAAAAAAAAAACATTTCCAGGTGAGCTTCCTATTCAATTTTCCACCCTTTGCTTTGATGTGTAATGTATAATACACATTACAATACTCGAAGACTTGGAGTCAGAGAAAGGATGAAAAGGGAGGTAGTTCTCCACTTACTCTACCTAGGAAATGTCAAGTCTTGTTTTTATTTTCATTAGAGAGCCAGCAGGTTGTTCAAGTGGCGCAGCCCTTACTGGAAAGTACTGAGGAACACAAAATGGGTTTCCCTCTATACAGGTTGTAAGAGATAAAAAACCCAACAAAACAAGCCTATAATCCTAGCAGACTATGGGCCTGTCTTTTGGTGGTGATGGGTTTTGCTCAAAGACAAGAAGTATACTTCCCAATGTCTTGGATGTTTTAATCTTTCTTAGCAAAAAAGCACTGAGCTTTACTGGTTGTCCAGGAAGCCTTCCTGGGTTACAGTTTTTGTGGGTGGAAATTGTTACTGCAACAGATGAGCTGGCCTTTCAAAAAACAAACTGATAATACACTTCGGTCTGATTAATCCTTTTACTCTGCAGTGTTTTGACTTCTTGGCTAGTTTTGCCTTTTGCAATATTAAACCTTACGCAGAAATGATAAAGGTTATTAAAGTTCTTTTACATCCAATACAATGTAAAAGGGTTTAAGTCAACTTTTTGAATAATGGGTATTTCAGTTATGCCTCAGTCGTGTCCCCCCTCCTTTTTCAGACAATAAAGTATGAAGGTAAATTAAGTTCACATTGCACTTATGGTTGCTTGTCACACAGCACTGGCTACCTCTAAGAACAGAATAACAAAATCTGTGTTTCTCGTAACTCAAAAGAGTACAGGAGTTTGAAATCTTCTCAGGACTTAGTACTCAGATGCACAAACCCCATATGCGTCATTTTACAGCAGTCCCCCACAGGACTCTGCCTGCAGGACCTACTCTTCCAATGCCCTGTTTGTTGCTAGGATACTCTCACCATACCTGTTGCCCAGCCCAGGCTGTAGCGAATTAAACTACATTCTTCTTTCCTGAAACTGAACAGTTTTCTCTTGTGTTTGAGACAGATTAAACATCTGCTAACCATAAATTAAGTGCTTTAAAAAAATCATTTGAGAACAGATAATAAGGCTGTTAAATTTCCCCAAGTTTCACCAGAGCTCAATATCATCTCCAAGATGAGACAGCCGTTTTCATATACATGTATATATATTTTTTTTTTTCAAAAGCACCACAAACAATTCCTTCTTTTACAGCCACGATGTCTTGTCAATCTTCAGCATTTTCAAGGTGTAGATAAATATGAAATAGCAGAACTGAGAGATGCTGTTTGCATTAGTTCATATAGTTTTGTTCCTAGTGGAATTCACCTGTACAAGACATTCCTCCTTATCTCACATCCTGAGGTCATGAATGCAGTGACTTGGCACAGTCAGTCTTGCAGGTTTCAGATTCACTGTGAACTGTAGGCTCCTGCAGCCAGCAGCAAGTTTCTGCGTGTAAAATGGAGGTGTACAACCGGGGTTGATTTGGTCATGTATGTACCTAGTAACAAGTCCTGTGAGTTTTCAGGCAAGTTTATATGTCCAGTAGCTGTAGTAAAGTCATCGGTTTCTAAATCTTCAAATGCCTTCACAGCATCCCACAGGCGAACTGTGTTATCCATTGAACCTAAAAACGAAAATGAGCAATACTTTGAAGCCTATTAATAAACAAGGTATACAAAAAAAGTTAGTGGGGAGCAAGTTAACAAAAATTAAAGCTCAAAAAGCAGGTTTTCTCATAACTGTAGGCTTATGCCCTCATCCTGCAAGGAAACAGACTTTCACAAGCCTCTAACACATAAGTTACCAGGATTTCAGCTTTTCTGTAATCACCCAAGTGTCCTGGGGTTAAAGCACAAAGAACTACTCTCTCAAAACGCCTGGGTTTGGATTAGATAACCTAGCACTGAAAAAGCAGGACGCTCCTGTGTGCTAGATGCCAATTTCAGCAGATCTTTGATTCTAAGTCACATAATAACAGTTTGATATAGGGAAAATAGCAGAATTTTGCAGGGGCCATATTTCACAGTGCAGTGAAGAACTTGCCTTGTACCAGCAGTTTTAAGTTGCTGGTTTTGCTAAGCAAGTGATTCTGCTTTGTCTTTCACAATTTAAGCAGCCAATTCTTCAGATGTATGGAACACAATGTATGGAACACAACAGAAACTTCACTGTTTCCAGTGAATTTTACCTGATGCTAAAATCTCTCCATCTCTACTGAATCTGAGGGCATAGACAGTGTCGGTGTGCCCTTTCAATTCTCCAACCATCAAGCCGTGTCCAATATCCCACAGCAGAACTCTTCCATCTGTTGCTCCAGTAGCCAGGAATCGTCCATTAGGAGAAAATGCCAGTGAATGAATTGGTCCCTAAAACAGACATTTGAGAGGGAACAACAAGCAAGCCAATTAAATCTACCCACATTCAGTCAGTCAAGCCACAGGCATTCTGAACGCTACTCTTCAGAATCTCATCACAGAAATAAAACCACTTTCACACTGCAAGTGATAACACCCTTTACCTTATGTCCAGTGAATATTCTGACACAATTCCCACTCAAAACATCCCAGAGCCGTATAGTCCTGTCTGCTGAGCCTGTGGCAACATAATTGGAGTTTGGATGGAATCGGGTACACGTCACATCAGCAAGATGACCAGCAAATATTCGTAAAGGCTGGTAGTGATCTGTTGCCCACAGACTGAAAAGAAAAGCTTTTATTAGTAAGAACCCTGATGAAGTTCAGTATCTGCACCTCTTAGAGCGGGTCCAGAGGAGAGCCAGAAAAATCATCAGAGGGATGGAACATCTCTCCTGTGAAGACAGGCTGAGAGAGTTGGGATTGTTCAGCCTGGAGAAGAGAAGGCTCTGGGGAGACCTCATAGCAGCCTTTCAGTACTTAAAGGAGGCTTATAAAACTGATGGGGACAAACTTTTATCAGGGCCTGTTGCAATAAGACATGAAGTAATGGTTTTAAACTAAAAAAGACTTAGAATAGATATAAGGAGGAAATTTTTACAATGAGAGTGGTGAAACACTGGAACAGATCGCCCAGAGAAGTGGTAGATGACCCTTAAAACATTCAACAGGGCTCTGAGCAGCCTGGTCTAGTTGAAGATGGACCTGCCCATTGAAGGAGGTTGGACTAAAAGACCTTTACAGGTTCCTTCCAACCCAAACCACTGAGGAATAAAAAGAAGTGGTTTCTTACTGTTCAGTTTATTGAATTAGCATGATCTGTTTTGGAAAAGTGTGCTTTTCCAAAGCATACTTCTCTAAAGGGAGAAATTAAGAATATTCTGTCAAGTTGTTAAACAAACCAGAAGAGAATACTTCTAATCAGATAGTAACACAAGAGAAATACCATCTCTTTAGTTGTCAGATAACCTGATGCATGTTGAAAAAACAACCTACATTAAAAAATTTGTTCAGTATTTTAACTGACATGAAATAAAATGTATTTCCAGTATTAGGGCAGGCTGGATTATATC